GTTTGACCTAGTATTCGGGCTTTTTCTCGTTCAACTCCTTTTTGATGAAGTATTAAGTGCTTTAATTCGTTTTTTTTGCTAGTTTTTTTAGTAATTTGTTGTTGTTTTTCGGTTTTTTCTTTGGTTAATTTTGCTGATTCATCTAATAGAGTTGATAGTTTCTTTGACTTCTTTTTTGAGTCGTCAGTTTCATTTGTGTCTAAAATTAGGCTTAAATACTTAATTATTTCGTTATAATTGTCTGAAAATTTTGCGTCTTTACTTGTTTTTGTTATTGACATATTTACTTTCTTATTTAATTCTTATTATTTGTAAAATCTTAATTTAAAAAAGAACTAAACATTTAAAATAAACGAAGACTATGGGTTTCGAAACCACACCCTTCGTCCTGGTTGAAATGACAACCATTTTATAATTGTTTATCCTTCGTTTTTTATAACTGAATGCTTGTTATGTAAATAACTTCGCATTTAGTCTCCGACAATGTTTGTTCCTTTGGAACTTCGCATTTCGTTTTTTATTTTTTTGCTAAAAAGTTAACGATTTGGAACGCTACAATTAAACGCTCTCGTGCCATGGTTCGTTTTAAACGGGCTAGCAAACTTTTTTAGCAAGGTTTTCAACTTTTAAACTTTTTGTGCAGTTAAACCTTTGTCATCTAGTTTTCTTTCTCATCTTTCATTTCTCTGTATCTTTCAATTCAAACTTTATATATATCTTAATATCATTTTATCTAGATATAATTATTACTTTAAATCTTTTAATCTCACTATCTATATATATTATTTTAGTATTTTTATATTTAAATCTAGATAATTAGATAATAAATTCAATAACAAAATGAATTGTAAGTTGCTAATCTATCCGAAATTAGAAAAGGAAAAAGAAGAGTTGGAGGAGTTCTTGACATTTTAAGAAAAATTAAGGACAGAATTCTCAAAAAGAGAAACAGTTAATCCAGCATTTTTTTCTTCTGGCAAACTCTTTGCTTTTCTGTCTGGTTTCGACATTTATTAATCCTCCCGGTAGTCATATTTAGGATGCCTCGTATTTCTCCTTTATCTATTTTGACTTGAGCCTTCCTTCTCCGATAAGCCTTTTGTCTTTCAGCAGGAGAAACATATTTTTTTGGTCGGCCGCCTAATTTACCCCATTTCTTAAAATTTTTTCGAGCAAGACCTCATTTTTGAAAATAGAACCCACTTTTTACTTTTTTTAAATTTTCCGGTAAATTTTTTTCCGGGAATTTTTCTTCTTCCATATTTTTTAATTTTACTTATCTATCCGTTATGAAACCCCCTTATTTAGAACAAAAAAACCTTCCCAAAAAAAGATAGTTTACTAAGTAAACTATACTAAAAATATATTTCCGACCTAATTAACCATTTGGGGAGGAATAAAAAAATTCCTAATAAAAACCCATTTTGACTGGCCCTTTACTATCATCATCTTTTAAGCTCAATCTCGTTTGAATAAGTTTTTGTAATTTGCTTTCAAGCCTTTTTATCTTGTCGATTTTATTTGCTTCGTGAAGTTCGATCAATTCTAATTCACTTCTAGTTTTGGTAATCTTTTCATCTAACATTTTTGTTAATATCATTAATTCGCCTCCTCATTTAGGAGATGCTTCTGGTTTGATTGCTGCTAACAATGCCTTGCAAAAACCAGTTAATTGTCAAGCATAAAGGTCATAGTCAAAAGGTTTTAATTGTTCTTTAATTTGGGAGCATTTATTATTTACATCATGAGGAGAACATTCAATAAAAAGATAACCCCCTTCTTCATTCTCAATGGCTCTCTTGGCTGTTGATTTGGCTAAACTCATCGGTAAGTGTTCTAAACCACTATCGACATCAGTAGCCTCAATACAAATTCTTTCTAGTTTGGTTAAATTTTTATAAGATTTGAGAGAACCATAGAATTTATTATGTTTACCGTTTCGGAAAACTTCTTTTTCAGTTCCTATCTTTAAGCAAGTTAAATTAACAAATTTACTAAATACTTCGATATCAGTTGGTTGAATATTATTGTTATAAATGTTTAATATTTTCATTAACTCTGGATTAGGCAAATTTTCTAAAAAATCTATTGAAGTTAAATTGTTATTAATACAAATTAAAAGTCCCAATCATCTAGCAGAATTACTAAATTTTAATTTAGTTAGTGGAGTTTTTAAATAACTTCCATCAATTCTTACTTCTGCTAAATTGACAAACTCGCTTAAATCTAGTTCTCCTCCTTCTATTTCTTTTTGTTGTTGTTCTTCTAAATAAGCAGTAAATCATCCACGGATTCTATTCTCTGCAATTTTTTCCCTTTTTTTAGGACTTATATCGGTAAAGTATATGACACCAACTCTTTCTTTCTCTTGCTTTGTTGGATATGTCTGATCTAAATATTCTTGTAAAGTTGTCATAAACTTATTTTTTTTCTTGTTCCTCAACCTTCTTTTCATAATCTTCCACAGCTTGTTCGATTATTTCGATCATTAAACACTTCTCTTTTAAAGCTAATCTTTTTACTTTTCAATAAAATTCCTCCCGTACTTTCATGCCAAGAGGTCGCAATCTCTTAGTTTTTTCTTTTCTTTTTCTTATAGGAGCCACTTCCGGGGCGTATAAGTTATTACTAATTTCCTGGGGAATAGTTCCCAATCTTTCTTTCCGAATTTTCTTTCAGTTGTTTTTTTTACTGTCTTTTTGCTTCACTTCCATATTGATATATTTTTTTTAAAAAATCTAGATACACTCCAATATGGTTTCTATTGGTTGTTGAACTTCTTTCTTATAACCAAACTCTGTTCTGCCAAGTTTTTTCTATATTTAATCACTGACGGCAAAATTATCTTTTAATAATTTGCTTCATAATATTTTGTTTCTCCTTTTACCCCAACTCAAAACTTCCCTAAGTGTAGAATTACTAAATAGCATTATCCATTCATTAGCAAATCTACCAAGTTTTTTCCTTAGTCTATCCAACACGCATGCGGGGGTTAAGTTATAAGCAAAGCAAAGTTTCCTATTAATATCCATGTATATTCTAATAGTTATTTGCTATACTCATAACTATTCTTTGGTTAACTCTTATATACCAAAAAATCTATCCTAAAGGATAGATAAAAAAGGTAAGAAAACGGGGCATAGAAGGTGAAAAAAAGGTGCCAGTTGGGGGGAAATACAATTATGAATAATTGTAAAAAGGTGAAAAAGGGCTAAAAAATGGTTAAAATTAGGGTCAAAAAAA